CCTAAGAATTATATAAGCAGGGGACCTACAAGGATTTGTGGAGAAGCATCACATTTCTCCCTCCACCATGGCTCCAATCTCTGGATTTAAATATCCACAGATGGGGCCATGTTGAAAATTATATATATTGATATTGGCCTTATGCTGCTGAAGTCTGGGGTCATGCATGAAGTGGCCTTAAACTGAATCAGTCCATCAAGGTCAGTATTGTCTACTTAGACTGGCAGCGGGTCTCCAGTGGCTCAGGCAGAGGTCTTTCGCATCACCTACTCTCTGGTCCTTTCAGCTGGAGAGATTGCACCTGGGACCTTCTGCATACAGAGTGGAGGCTCTTCCACTGAGCCACAGTCTTTTTAAAGTTGCAAATGCCTCTCATTGCTTGAACAAATTGCATTTTTCTCTTATTCTGTTACTGCAGTAATGCCCAAAGTGATGCCCACAGACAGGTTTCCTGGTGCCCATTTGTTTCCTCTCCAAAGCATCTCTTTCCCAAAGTGTATTGCCTGTCTTGTTTTTTTCTCCGTATCATTGGAGCAGGAAGTCCTTCAGAAGTGCCTATAGGGGATTGGGGTCAGCTGTCTGACAGCCTTAAAATATACTGTAGCTCCATTGGTATTTCTGTTCACCTACATGTGCTTGAAACTATTGTTTTCAAGGTTTCGTAGAACTAGCCACATCTCCATGCTTTTTCAGCTGATATATATGGATAATTCAGGGACTGGATGCTAACTCATGAAGTGCTGTAGATAAATTAGTAGATTGAAAATGCAGTGGCAGGGTTTCAGATCCGAATAGCCTAGTAAGCTTTCACTTTGAGAAATTAATATGGAACTTGCCCTTCTGAAAGACATTCTGAATAATGGTGAAACATGCTTGTGATGTATGTCTTCAGTGATACTGCGATCTTCACCAAACAAGTATTCCAAAACTGAACATGGCCAGCTTCCTATACTCATTTTTCTTTTGACCACAGCACACACTAGGATTTATTTGTTCACAATTCAAAAACAATAGTATTTCAAGTGGATTTGGGATCTGCACAGTTGGCAGTGTTCATCGTGCTGGGTGACCTGCAATATTGTGACTTGCTGGGATAATGTTTGACCCTGGATCCTAGTTTTAAAATAGCCGCATGGGTAGTGTATGTGCTGATTTTGCACCTTAGTTGACAGCGTTCACCAGTCGGTGGCATGTGTCATGTTGGCATGCGCTCAAGATTTACTGGATTGATCTACAGTTCCAGCTGGCAGTGCATTAATGTGCAAAGTGTTTACGATCCAATTCAGAACACTCAGTGAACATGTACAGTGTTGGGAATCACACAGGGTAAAATGGACATGGGTGGGATATTAGAGAGACAAACTGCAGCTTGGCTGCACCCCAGCACTATTGAGATAAATAAAAAAACCAAAACACATCCTTTGCTTGGTTATGTCATTAAACACCATCTTTCTTCCCAATGAGAACCCAAAGTGACTTATATTGCACTCTCTGCTCCATTTTATCCTCACAACAACCTTGTGAGGTAGGTTGGGCTGAGAGTCTGTGACTGGCTCAAGGTCACCCGGCAATCTTCTTGACAGAGTGGGGATTCATACCTGGATCTCCCAGATCCTAGTCTGACACTTACCACTGGAACACACTGGCTCTCTGGTTTTGTTGTGTGTGTGTGTGTGTGGGGCCAGGCAGACAGATGGGGAGAAGCACAGGTGTGGGAAAACAGTGCATGAATGCACATGTGCAAAACTGTGAAATAAAATAACTGACGATGCTGTTTGCAAGTTGCGATCCAAGTGTGATTCAAGGACTGTGGCTGATCATGCATTGCTGAATTTCATTTCCAATGTTCTGGGTTTATGCATGTCTAGGTTCAAAGGCACAGCCGAGAGTCTGTTAGGAGACTTCCATCTAGAAAGGAAATAAATTTAGAGGAACAAATCCTCAAGCAATTACCCGAATGTAAATTTGTTTGTCAAAACCCAAAGTTACATTGTTTTCATTAGACCTGAACATCCTGTCTCTCTCTCCCCCTAGTCCCTACAGTGTTTTGAATTATGGACACTCTTCTGTTTAGCAGTTCAGAAAATTGTATGTTGATACACAGCACTGTGATCTGAACATTCATCAACAATAATTAGATTTACAGCCTGACCTTATGCGTGTTTGCTTGGAAGTCAATCCCGCTTCCCCCGTAAACCAAGCTGTGGTGGGCCTGTCAGCTGCTCAGCGGAAGGAGCTAGATTTAGTTCTGCTTTGTTAACAAGCTGACTAACCTGATTGCCCCATATTTTATTAGGCTGTGTGTTGGGCCTTATGCCCCAGTATGTGAGCCTGTGAGCGGAACCTTTCCGCTTATTGCTATAAAAGGGCTGAGGCTTAGTGAACGCATGAAACTACCTTAGAAATCAGACCTTCAGTCCATCAAGGTCAATATTGTCTTCTCAGACTGGCAGCAGCTCTCCAAGGTCACAGGTCTTTCATATCACCTACAACCAGATCCTTTTAACTGGAGATGCCTGGGATTGAACCTAGGACCTTCTGTAGGCCAAGAAGATGCTCTACCACTGAGCCACAGCCCTTCCCAGTGATAAGAACATAGCACTGTAAAATGCAGTGCAATCAGACAGAACACATTCTTTGCATGCTGGGTTTCCTATGTTCATCCCATGGCATCTTTGGTGAAAAGATCTTGTGTAGCAGATATTGGTAAAGCCTCTGGAGAACCACCGCCATTCAGAATAGTGTGCTAGATGGATCAATGCTCCTATTCAGTATAAGGCAGCTTCAAGCTTACATATGAGTTACTTTGGTTAAAAGATCTTGTGTAGCAGATGTTGGTAAAACCTCTGGAGAACCACCAGAATTTTTCAGAATAGTGTGCTAGATGGATCAATGCTCCTATTCAGTATAAGGCAGCTTCAAGCTTACATATGAGTTACAGAGCCCTGGTGTTGCTATAGAGAAAGCCCCGACTCATGTTAACCATCTATACCTTGGATGGTGAGTGAACTCAGACATGATGGATCTAGAAACTCCATATGTTTATAACAGAGTGTTGCTATGCTGAATGGGGCTTACTCCAAGTTAATGCCCATAAGACCGCTGCCATAGGCGGCAAGCCTTATGTAAGAGAAAGCAGAGCCATCTCACCATTGCAATTCACCTGTTTCTGCATAACAGAATGCCTCTGATGATCACATTCTCCTTTGCAGAGGACATCTGTGATGAAACTCAGTTTCCCTTATTCAGACACTTGAGCTTAGGATAGAGGCATACCCTCTAGAGCAGAGACATGCCAAGCATTATTCCCTAATGTGCAAAGTTCCCTCTAAGCTGTGGAGTCCTGTGAGCAAAAATTCTACCTTGTGAGCTACTGGCATGAAAGTTGTGAGCGAGCGATTTGGCTACTGCATAAATTAGTTTTCTCTGGAGCCATCCTTCCTGAGCAAAGACAAAAATGTGTGAGACAGAGGCTATAAAATTGTGAGCTAGCTCACACTAACTCAGCTTAGAGGGAACACCGAGTGGGGAATGTGGGCAAAGCCCTTGCCTGGCAGAGCATCTGGTTGGGAGGTTATGCCCACCTTGATACAACTACCACCACAGGTCAACTGTGAGCATCAGACCAGGGACAGAAGTAAAATGTGGCTCTTTTGGTTGACGGTATTTGTAAAAGTAGCTTTCTGCAAAACATGAGTATGGCACTCAGATCTGGGAAACCCAGCTTCCCTCCTTTGCCATGGAAGTTTACTGGGTGACCTTGGGCCAGTCAGTCTCTCTCACTCTAATGTACCTCACAGGGTTGTTGTGAGGATAAAATGAAGGCGGGGAGAATGATGTAAGCCGCTTCAGGGCCCCGCTGGGGGAGAAATGCTGTGTGTTTTTAAGTGCCATCAAGCTGCTTCTAACTTGTTGTGACCCTATGAATTAATGACTTCCAAAATGTTAAAGTTATTGTTATGCCAATAAAGGTTATTAGAAACTGAACTGAAATTGACTTCCAAAATTTCCTATCCTTAATAGCCTTGCTCAAGTCTTACAATCTGTGGGCTGTGACTCCCTTTATTGAATCAATCCATTTCACGTTGGGTCTCCCTCTTTTCCTGCTGCCCTCAACTTTTCCTAGCATTATTACTTTTGTCAGTGAGTCTTGTCTTCTCATAATGCGACCAAAGTATGATAGCCCTAGTTTGGTCATTTTAGCCTCTAGAGAGAGTTTAGGCCTGCTCTGATATGGAACCCACATTGCTGAACAAATAAACATGTTCCTTTTATCAGAGTGCTATCGGAAAAAGCCAAGAAATGCTGACTCCTTTGAAGGACACTACTGTGTTGTTGAACTTACTTGCTGTAGGCTTGCTTATTGTGGGAGGTGTCCAGGAGCGGACTGGAAAGTGAAAAGGGCAAACTCAACCAAGCAGTCCCTCTGGTGCTAGCAGCCACCATTTCAGGGGCCACTGAATTCAGTGGCACCAACAGTGAACACTGGCTCACACGTTGCCTCAGCCCACAAAATGGCAGCCAGGCAGAAGGAGGCCACTGGTGAGCTGACGCTGATAACCAATGAAAGGTCTGAGCCAAGTGGCCCCCAAGGTGCTGGGAGTGTTGCTGGGGCTTGTCCGCTAGCAGCCCTCTAGGGCAGGTGGCCCACCAAGAAATTCCCCTCTAAGTTCAATGGTCAGTCCACCCCTGGAGGTGTCCAGCACATGTTTCATTCTCTCATGGATCTCAGTTGGATAAAACCTCTTCAGATGACTTACAACCATTATTTAATTCTGTACCCCCCCCCACATGTGCTACTGTACATGGGAATTGCAATGGGAATTAAGTTTCTCTGAGATTGTTCTAGCTTTGATCTAGGTCCAAATATTCTAAAAATTAACCCTTAGTTCTACCACCCAGAGAAGCCCCAATCAATTGAACACACACTTAAAGAACATAGGTTTATTATCCTTTAAGCATTTAGGCATCAAATGTTTTCATTAGTCAGATTGGGGGGGGGGGGCAGTTGCACACATGAGAGAAGTTTCACTTTTAAAAGCTCACCATAAGTTTCCACAGAAGCTTCTTAGTGAAATGTTTTGATACTCTGTTACTGATAAGTGAGTGCTGTTTTCAAAGCTGTAGTGCCAGGCCCTGTGAACTGGAACATCCAATTTATTCACATGGATTCTGGATAACGATGAGAAGATATTCCTTATCTGCAGGAAAAGGTATTTAAAAATTACAGTTGTGATAAATGCTGAGAATCTGTCCACCTTCAGTTATTCCTTACTGTCACATTTTATTTTTTTATTTGAAAAGTTTCAATTTTTTTATTTGAAAAGGTTCAGTATTCAGAATCAGCATTCTGGTGTCTGCCAGTATGTACCCTTCTTATGAAACTGTTGATTACTACAATGGCAATTTGAGCAGTGGAACAGTCTGCCGTGGGAGGTGGTGGATGCTCCTTCGCTGGACGTTTTCGAGCAGAGGCTGGACGACCATCTTTCGGGTATGTTGTAGGTACGTAGAGCTGTCATTCAGCTATGCTCCTGCAGAATGCAGGGGGTTGGACTAGATGACCTGCATTCTATGATTCTATATATAAGCTCTGCTGCTGTCACCACACCTTAAAAAGGATATTATAGCTTTGGGAAAAGTGCAGAAAAGGGCAACTCGAATGATAAAAGGGTTGGAACACTTTCCCTATGAGGAAAGGTTAAAGCGCTTAGGGCTCTTTAGCTTGGAGAAATGACAACTGAGGGGTGACATGATTGAGGTTTATAAGATTATGCATGGGATAGAGCAGGTAGAGAAAGAGGGACTTTTCTCCCTTTCTCACAATACAAGAACTTGTGGGCACTCAGTGAAATTGCTGAGTGGTGGGGTTAGAACAGATAAAAGGAAGTCCTTCTTCACCCAAAGAGTGATTAACACATGGAATTCACTGCCACAGGAAGCGGTGGCGGCTACAAGCATGGACGGCTTCAAAAGGGAATTAGATAAGCATATGGAGCAGAAGTCCATCAGTGGCTATTAGCCACAAGGTATAGATAGGGGCTCTGGGGCAAGTGATGCTCTGTCTTCTTGGTGCTTGGGGGGGGGGTCAACAGTGGGAGGGCTTCTAATGTCCTGGCCCCACTGCTGGACCTCCTGATGGCACTGGTATTTCTGGCCACTGTGTGACACAGAGTGTTAGAGTGTTGGGCTGGATGGGCCTTTGGCCTGATCCAACATTGGCGTCTCTTATGTTCTTATCCTCTCCTTACAATAGACAAAAATTAAACACATTGCAGCTGTAACCTACTCATGATACCTGCTTATTAGTATTATAACTGTATCAAAAGGCAAATTAGTATTATAACCACATGGGTATTATAACTGTATTAATAGGCAAATGAAAGTGCAGAAAATCTTAAAGCAAATCTGGTTCTTACAGGGATTAGTATAAAAAACCAAAATGTACCACCAACAACCTGGGTAATAGGCCAAATACATCCTGGCAGTCTGCCGCTCCTTGCCACACCGGAAGGGAGAAGAGACTGCCTCATAGGTAAGGCTGAGTAATTGAAGAGGAAAGGCACAGGCTGGACATTTGAACAAAGGGAAGCAAGTGGTTTGCATGCACATGAGATATGCCCAGTTTACTGAACTCTCTTTTCATCCCCTCTCTTCTCTTTGGCCACTTCTGGAAGCATCCAGAAACCCTCTTGCCCCCCACTGTGCATATCAGGAGCCACCTTTGTTACTGAGACTGAAAAGCAGGAGAGAAGAGAGGACAGGGAGGAAAGCAGAAAGAGGCCCAGCTGAGTCCTTTCTGCTCTGTTTCCTCACTCATCAGCAGCTTAAAGGCCAACAACAAAAATTACTTCAAAGAAACCAGAAGCAGAAAACCAGCCAGGAAGGCAGTGGGGTTCTTGGATGACCAAGGGGTGAAAGGATTACTAAAGGATGATAGGGAAACGGCAGAGAAACTGGATGCATTTTTGCCACTATCTTCACTGTGGAAGATGAGAGGTGCTTGCCCACTACAGAACCACAAATTTCAGGAGGGGTGTTGAACTCCATCTGGAAGATGATAAAGAGAATGGAGCGGGTGCAGAAGAGAACAACAAAGATGAGCAGGGGCCTGGAGACCAAGCCCTATGAGGAAAAACTGAGGGACTTGGGAATGTTTAGTCTGGAGAAGAGGAAGTTGAGGGGGGACATGATTGCTCTCTTTAAGTATTTGAAGAGCTGTCACTTAGAGGAGGGCGGGGAGCTGTTCCTGTTGGCAGCAGAGGATAGAACTCACAATAATGAATTTAAATTAAGGGCAGAAAGGTACCAGCTGGATATTACGAAAACCTTTTTACAGTAAGAGTTGTTCAACAGTAGAATCAGCTATGTAGGGCGGTGGTGAGCTCCCCCTCACTGGCAGTCCTCAAGCAGCGGCTGGACAAACACTTGTCAGGGACGCTCTAGGGCGGCTGATCCTGCATTGAGCAGGGGGTTGGACTAGATGGCCTGTATGACCCCTTCCAACTCTGTGATTCTATGAATCTGTGACCTGAGTTGTATTGAGGTGACAAGAGAGGAGTTCCTACAACTGATGAACAAATTAAAAACTGACAAATCATCAGGCCCAGATGACATACATCCAAGAGTTCTGAAAGAACTCAAATGTGAAGATTTCCTGACAAAAATCTGCAATCTGTTACTAAAATCTGCCTCCATTCCTAAGGACTGAAATTTATTTATTTATTTATTTCAATTTATATCCCACCTTTCTGGTGCAGCACTGGCTCAAGGCGGCTTACACAGTTAAAACACAATAAAACCAATAAATACAGTAAAAATTCACAGTTAAAAGACAATTACATAAGGTGCTAATATATACAGATGGCGGCGATATATGGATATCTATACATAGTCCGATGAGGAAAGGTCATATCCAGTGTAGTAATATAAGGCTGTGGCCTGCTCAGTTTCCGATGGTTCGTTCGCTCAAATTACGATGGTTCATTCGTCAGTGGTGGCTCCTAATCGATGAAAGGTAGCTAATGTAACCCCCATCTTTAATGTAACCCCCATCTTCCAAAGGAGATCTGGGAAATTACAGGCCAGTCTGTCTAACACTGATACCAGCTAAATTGGTGGAATCTGTTATTAAAGATAGAATTAATAGGCACATTGATGAACAAAAGCTATTGAAGACAAATTAGCATGTATTCCAAAAGGGAAGATCTTGTCTCACTAACCTGTTAGAGTTCTTTTTTTTGGGGGGGTGAACAAACATGTGTACAAGGGTGACCTAGTAGATGTTGTTTACCTAGACTTCCAGAAAGCTTTTTATAAAGTTCCTCATCAAAGGCTCCTAAGTAAACTCAGCAGTCATTAGATAAAAGTCCTCTTGTGGATTAAAAACAGCGAGTATAAATGGGCAGTTTTCACAGTGAAGGGTGGTAAGCAGTGGGGTACACCAGGGCTCGGTACTAGGTCCAATACTTTTTAACTTGTTCATTAATGTTTTGGAGTTGGGAGTAAGCAGTGAAGTGGCTAAGTTTGCAGATGATACTAAGTTGTTCAGGGTGGTGAGAACCAGGGAGGACTGTGAGGCACTCCAGAAGGATCTTTAAAGGCTAGGTGAGTAAGTGTCAATGTGGCAAATGAAGTTCAACTTAGCCAAGTGCGAAGTGATGCACATTGGAGCAAAAAATCCTCACTATAAATATACATTGATGGAGTCTGAACTGGCGGTAATTGACAAGGAGAGAGATCTTGGAATTGTGGTAGATAACGCACTGAAGATGTTGACTCAGTGTGCAACTGCAATAAAAAAGGAAAATGCTATGCTGGGGATGATTAGGAAGGGGATTGAAAACCAGCCAGTATCATAATGCCTCTGTATAAATTTATGGTGCAGTCTCATTTGGAATACTGCATATCGTTTTGGTCACCATACCGAAAAGAAAATATTATAGCATTGGAAAAGATGCAGAAAAGGGCAACTAAATTGATTAAAGGGATGGAACACACTCCCTATGAGGAAAGGTTAAAGAGGTTAGGGCTTTTTAGCTTGGAGAAATGACAATTGAGGGGTAACAGAGGCTTACAAAATTATTCATGGGATAGAGAAGGTAGACAAAGAAGTACTTTTCTCTCTTTCTCATGGACACTCAATGAAATTAATGGGCACACAATGAAATTAATAAGCAGTAGGCTTAGAACAGATAAAAGGAAGTACTTCTTCACCCAAAGAGTAATTAACACATGGAATTCACTGCCACAGGAAATGGTGGCAGCTATAAGCATAGACAGCCTCAAGAGGAGATTGGAGGAACATATGGAGCTGAGGTCCATCAGTGGCTATTAGCCACGAAGTATAGATGGAACACTATGTTTGGGCCAGTGATGCTCTGTATTCTTGATGCTTAGGGGGCAACAGTGGAAGGGTTTCTGGAATTCTGGCCCCACTGATGGACCTCATCAAGGGCACTTGGGTTTTGGACACTGTATGACAGTGTTGGACTGGATGGGCCACTGGCCCAATCCAACATGGCTTCTCTTACATTTTCCCTTGCCAGCATCCCACACCCTTTGTATAAAGCCCCTCCTCCGCCCCCACTCCCCTTTATTGTTTATTTGATCTATTTTGAGATTTTTATTCCACCCTCCCCAAAGCGGGCTCAGGGCAAATCACAGGAAACCGACTCTAAGATTCATTACAATAAAATCACATTAAAATAATTAAAACAACAAACATTAAAACAATAAACAATACATATCACACAGGTAGCAGCAGTTTCATATAAATCTGTTAGGATTCCTGAAAATGAAGGGTATTACTTTTGCTGGTGCAGAACTGAATCAAATGGGCCCTTTCTTTGAATTGGGAACTCCCCTTTATGTGTTCTGGGGACAAATAACGGCTTATTAAAAAACAAAAAAAGAACAGGCACCAATCAGGCTCCCAGTGTTTAACCCAACATACCCTTCGATATCAGTTTGAGCTTGTCTAAATACGCTGCCCTCCAGGCTTCCCTTCAAACTGATGGTGCATAAAAGGAGCTGACGAAAAACACGGAAAAGTGGGCGAGTCTCAGTATTATTTCTTCCCTTGGTCACTTCCTTCCTGCTCTCAAACTGAAGATTGTCTCAAGGAGCAAGAAGGGGGGCCTGATTTGCCCGAGGGTCTGTTTGCTGGGTGGGGACGGGATGAGCAAGCGGCTGCATCAGCCATGCAAATCCAGCTGCCAGTGACAGCCTGCTCTGCCCCACTACAGACAAATCCTGCAGCAAATCCATTTAAAACAATTAAAAGGTCTAGGGGAAGAACATACCCCCCCGAGCTGTTTTCTCCGTAACTGAAATTCTATTAGATGGACATTTTGCAACAATTATTAAAAAGAACTCCAAGCCACTCGCACGGCAGTCTCTGTAGTAGGTTTCTCAGGAAGAAAAGAGTTATTACCTGGAGCTACCATGATTTCGTGTTTCTTTGATCTAATCCTTAGAAAGGTTAGATCATTCTGGGGATCAATATCTCTCACTGTGCTCTTCGCCTTCATTGTGAGCTGGTGAAGGAGCCCTGCATACTGGACTGTAGTGGAGTTGTCAAGAGTTGTTCTGATGGGGATTCCTGAAAATGAAGGGTATTACTTTTGCTGGTGCAGAACTGAACAGCACAAAGTCAAATTAAGCACGAAGATACAACAGCATACAATAAACTTTGCACACGATCCATCCCAGCTCATGTGCAGAAGGGATCCATACTGAATCCTTCCCAGCTTCTTTTCAGATGAGTGTGCTGGTGCCATGCTGGGTACCCTGCACTGCCCAACAGCACACCTAATGAACTGAGGATCTCCTGTATCTCACATGAAGTTATCTAGCAGCCTGCTCATCTCCAAGCCTTTGGCATACAGGCTACTGTGAGCATCTGATCACTTCCTACAATACCAACCTGGCTGGCCTTTGGCTTGTACCAATTGGTAAGGGAGCAAAAGAAGGTCAGCCAGGAACACGAGAGAACGTTGAACATCTGAGGATTCCCCTTCACTACCCCTAAAGGGGAACAGTCAATCCAAAAATAAGGAACCAGAGGACTATAAAAATTCATACGACCCTTAAACCTGGCAGCATGGAGGCCCAGAGCAGGTGCAAGTCATCCTGTTGGCCATTCACAGCTTCCCTTTGTGGGTGTGTCTGTCTCTCTGTGTTATGTGCTGCCCAGCTGCTTCCAACTTAAGGTGATCCTATGAATTTATGATCTCCAAAATGTCTGATCATTAAAAGCCTTGCTCAGAGCAGTGACTCACAAAAGCTAATACCCTGCCACAAATTTTGTTAGTCTTTAAGGTGCTACTGGACTCTTGCTCTTTTCTACAGCCTTGCTCAGGGCTTGCAAAAGGAAGGCTGTGGCTGCCTTTATTGAGTTAATCCACCTCATGTTGGGCCTTTCTCTTTTCCTGCTGCCTTCAACTTTTCCCAGCATTACTGTTTTTTCCATAGACTCTCATTTTCTCATGATGTGACCAAATAAAAATAATAATGCTTTCGATTTATTGATCGCTCTTTCCCACATACCTGCGGGCTCAGAGCGATTTACAGCTACTCTTGAGACAGTTGGACTAACAATATTTGTGGGGATAGGGAAGACAAACATACAGCAATAATTACACACACATTGCAGCTAGCCAGGCTTCATCTGCGGGCTGGGTCAGGATGATACTCTCTGAGAGCAGCTAATCAGAATCAGAAGACAAGTGCTTTCTCCAGTTCACACACCACCATCAGACTATTTAGCTGGTAGACAGTACTCCAACAGCTGGATGAGTTGGGGGAGCCATGAAGATCATAGGGGGAGGCAACATCACTCCAGTTTCAACCATGGAGCACAGGCAAGGTAAAAATAACCCTTTGCATGTTGTACTTGCAAAACATCCTGCTGTGATTTCGATGGGTTCCCTACTGCTTATAATAGTAAAGGTAAAGGTTTCCGTTGCTCGAAAGCCAGTTGAATCTGACTCTTGGGATGCGGTGCTCATCTCCATTTCCAAGGCGAAGAGCCAGCACTGTCCAAAGACATTTTCATGGTCATGTGGTCAGCATGACTAGATACCGATGTGTATGGAATGCTGTTACTTTCCCACCGAAGCAGTACCTATTTATCTACTTGCAATGAATAGGAGAAACAGATTATGATGATAATATATTGCATAGTCTCCTGTTTTCTTCATTTACCAAATATTCAGGTGCAAATCTTAAGAGATGCAAGGATGCCAGAGAAAATGCCCCAGAATCCTCTGCAATATCTGCAATATCCACCCCAACACAAACCCAGTGGTAGCTGCACAGAGGTTCTTCAGCAGATAATGAAGTGTTAAAAAATGCAGCATGTTTGAAAACCATTGTCATGGAGAAAAAACAGAAACTACTAGTGACCAAAGACAGGAAGATAGCTTAAATCCCATTGAATTCAATGAGATTTGTGAGCCGGTAAAGGAAGCCTGCATTGAATTACCAGTTTAAACAGGTAAGTACTTGAATTCAATGAGATTTAAGTGACAAATCAGAACATGATTTCAGTTACAGATGTAAGAGCAGCCGTGCTAGTTCACACCAATGGTCCATGTAATCCAGCATCCTGTTTTACACAACAACCAATTATTTATTATTTATTTATAAGTATTTTTACCCCGCCCTACCCCGCAAGCGGGCTCAGGGCGGCTTACAAGGGGCATAAGCCCATACATAAAACCAGTAAAACCATAACTTTTATAACAACAGTACAATTCAACAATAAACAATAAAGTGCTTCAGTTTGGCAAGATGGTCTTAGTTGTTCTTATGATGCTCCAGTTGTTCTTATGATGCTCAGTTTGGCAAGATGGTCTTAGTTGTTCTTATGATGCTCCAGAGCATCATTCTTAGTTGTTCTTAGATGCTCCAGAGGTTGCAGGCAGGGGACAAAGGCCAAAGCCCACCCCCATTATTGACTCCCCCCAGCACTACCTTCAGAGGGTTTCTGTCTATGAACATGGAGATTCCATTGGGTCTTCGTGGCTAGTAGACCTCTTCTGCACAAACGTCTAATCTTTTAAAGCCCTCTCTACATTCCACGGCAATAAATTTCACAAGCTGATTATTCTCTGAATGCTCACTGAAGAATTCACAGCATAAGAACAAAGCAACTGTTCTGAGCTGATACCCAAGTCCACTGATCTGATCCTGATGCTTAAAGCAGAAAAAGAAAAAGCCCATTTCTGGAGCAGGGAAGGAAGGGGGTGGTATTGGTAGAGATTCCTTCCTGGTAGTCTCATGAAATTTTGGTTGTTTGGACAGCTGAGCATGTTGCTACTAAAAGGATGAAAAGGCTTGGGCACTCAAGTGTCATGTGCGAGATCATTACAGTAATCACATGTTGGATGAAAGCCCAGCTTCCTTGAAGCAAAACAGTATTTGGCCACTAGTTTCAGAAAAAAGAGAAGAGTTTGACCCGCTGTGCTGAAACAGCAAAGGCGTCTTCAAATGCGAATCTGAAGGCCAGGCCAAGGCCTGCCTGCTCTCGGCTCACATTAACGGACCAGTCTTTCGATAAAGCCTAAAAATAAACGGCTGGCAGGAGCGGTTCCTGGAGATTAAAAGGACTGGGTTCTTTCGCTTTGAGATCAAACTGCAAATTGGAAGTGAGAAACCACTTAAGCTTTCAGGCAGGGCTTTTGCATGGGTGAAAGACAGCTTCAATCTGGGAAAGGTTTCAGTTTAAACAGGTAAGACTGCCAGATGCAACAGACCACATCCTTCACTACAATTAACCCAACTGGCAAGCTATTTTAGTTCAAGACCTCGCTGTTACACAATTGCCTCAGGAATTTCTATTGCCTTTTCAGTCCTTCCAATGAGACTTGAACAGTAGTAAACACTTGGAGAAGGGAGGTGGCGGGGGGGGGGGATAAGTCCAAATTAAAAAGGTTTGTCTGAGGATTGAAGATGTGGATTGCTTGACCTGTGGTGGAAATATGCAGCCTGTGTTGCTGTGCTGCCCTTTTCTCTCCCTGCATTTTCCCATAGTTTATTGTAGGCACCTGGCGGGGGATTGGGGGGCAGGGTTGCCAATCCAGGTTGGGAAGCTCCTGGAGATTTGGAGATTGAGCCTGGGGAGGACAGAGATCTCGATGGAGTACAATGCCATAGAATCCAACCTGCAAAGCACTTATTTTCTCCAGGGGAACTGATCTCTGTAGTCCAAATATGAGCTGCCATTCCAGGGGATCCCCAGGTCCCACCTGGAGGCTGGCATCCCTAGTTTATGGTATTATTACAAATTAGAAAATCATAACATTTTCTAAACTTGTAAAATGAGAATGTGCCTTGACCTGGTTAGCCTAGGCTAGCCTGTTCTTGTCAGATCTTGGAAACTAAGAAGGGCCAGCCCTGGTTAGTAATTGGATGGAAGGCCACCAAAAAAGCCCGTGGTTACTATGCAGAGGCAGACAATGGCAAACTACCTCTGAATGTCTCTTGCCTTGAAAATACACCATAAATCAGGTGTGACTTGAGGGCAAAAAAAAGAAGAGAAAAAAGATGCGAACTTGCCAAGATGCCAGAATGTCCTTGTTTCCAGGTCATGATATTTTCTATGCATGTATATGGAGAGTTAGAAAAAGCCTGTTTCGAGTGTAACATAAAAGACTGCAAGATAAAGAGTGTGACAGGGTCAATGCAGTTCACCAGCAGTGGTTTGCCATACTCACGAAAAGGGAATGGACTTTACCTGGCTATTGTTTAGAGGGTAACGTAAGCAAATAAAAAAGAAGAAAAGGGTCCCTTATTGTTAGTTACAGGCCAGAGGTTTAAGAGAGCTAGTGGCTAGAGAATGGGACAAACCCAGCTTTTTCCTGTTCCATTTTCAGCCTCATTTCCTCATCTGTAACACCAGAGGAGCATGTACACGGCTATTGGGAGGGCAAATGGAAGAAAGGCTGTAATAGACACTTTGGAAGAAGGGCTCTTAAATGATGAGCTGCCATCCCGTGACCTCAGTATGGTTTTCCAGTTTAGAACCCAAAAGCCTATCCATAGCTGGGATGTATCAGTTGATGGAACGATTTCCATCAGAAAAGCATGACTTTCTGAGATATCCTAAAGCACAAAATGACCCCACCCCAAAGCCGCTCCTGCAGGTTAGGAGAGCCTCAGGAGCTTCTTAGCCTGGAAGAAGGCTTCAAACCGCAGTGCTGAGTGGAGAGGAAGGATCCATGCCACTGCATCCACATTTGGAAGGCAGCTCTTGGAAGAAGCTCCTTGTAGGATGGTTGGATCCCCCCCAGTGCTCCTCACCCCAAATCGGGTCTCTCTTGTAACCTGCAACCATGAGAGATTTTGCTAAAAGAAATCCACTCTGGAAGGTGCTTCTTGTTCCTGTGGTTCCCTTCTGCTTTAATCTGGCCCTTCTCCTTTGCCATGGAATTGCCCTCTCTCACAAATCCGTAGTAGGATTATTAAATTCGGTGTTAAGACAGTATATGAGGGGAGCGGTGGCAAAGTGGGTATATCCCACTGCCTTAACATCTGAACTGTGTCAGTTCAAGCCCCGCGCTGGTGTGAGCAGCCAGCCTGTTGTCCCCAGCTCATCGTCCACCCAGCGATTCGAAAGCTCCGGCGAGTAGATAAAATGGGAACCGCTCCTTAGCGAGGGCGGGCACGCCAATCTTCCTTCTGGGAGGCCATTAGCTGACGGTTGAACGTCGATGGTCACGGCTTGTAAAGGCAAAAACAGCTTGCCGGCTACAGATAGAACTCCTGCAACGGACGTTCCGGCCAGGCGGTGGCAGTGTGGTGACAGACATACGGGTCCTGGAGCCTGAGCAGCAAGCAGCCATGCCGGAAAACGACGAAGCCAGCCAGAAGACGTTCTACACCGGGGCAGTATCGGTGTGTGCAGTTAAAATGAATATATATGTTGTCTTCCCTATCCCCTACAAACATTGTTAGTCCCTTGTCTATATTTGAGTAACTGTACATCGCTTTGAGCCCACTGGGGAAAGTGATTAATAAATGGAAAGTAATAATAAATGGAAAGTATATATTTGAATTAAGTCTGGATTTAAATTTTAAAACTCTTACAACCAAATGAACAACCAAAAAATGAACAACCAAAAAAAATCAGCCTGCTTTTCTCCAGTCTGCTTATTGGCCCCCTGTAGCACCTGGGGAGACGTATCTCCCATGTTCCCACATGCCTTTTAGGGCCTACAAATAGCTCTGCCAGATCAGGACAGTGGTCCATATAATCCAGCATATGGTTTCATACAACAGGAAACAGGGCAACAAGCAAGGCACAGAGGAGATGACGTGTACCCAGATTCTTCCTCCTCCTCCTTCAGTCAACCTCTTTGCTCCAGCCCAACCTGTCCACCGGCTTCAGATTGTCTCTATTTTGGAGGGGAGCCCTGTGAATCATCTAGATTGCCTGGTCCAAAATGGGACATCATCCTTGCCTTGGCAACATGATCCTTCCTGCAACCCACTTGGTGACCTGAGATGCTTTAGTCGGCTTTGTTGTGGCAAACCATGGGGTGTCCCTTGGCTCCCCTGCAATGACAATAGCCTTCCCTTTAACCAGATATTCCTGGAGGCTTCCACAATTACCACAGTTGTCCCTGGTTCATGGTCTTCTGCACTCAGTCCTTGGGGGTGAGGGTGGATAGACCTACATCTAGCTAACATGTGATGAACACTCATCTTTATCTTAATTAACATGATACAAGATTTTTGTTACATTCGCCATTCCAATTTCCAGCTTAACCTATCCAGACATCCAAATTAATTATCTAGGCTTACCGGACCTTGAAAGAACGCTTACATTTCCCCCTTGATTTTGCCTTCTTTTCGAGTGACTGCAAATATGAAATAAAAATCCCAAATCCTTTTGTAAGAAGAACAGACCATGAGTTTGGAACATGTATCAAAGGGGATCTTTACCTTCCGCGTTGACGACAATTGTTCCAATAACTCCTTTATGAGCTTGAATCCTCTTTAAAGTTTCCTCTACCTCTGCCTGAAAATGAAATGAAACCAGACAAAGTACAGAATATGAACACAATCCTGTGGCTGCTCAGCAGCAGAACCTGCATTTCTAACAGCATAATAACATAATGTTGGGATCTCTACCTTCTCCTGAGCACCTGAAGCTGCTTTATACTGAATCCAACCGTTGGTCCATCATAGTCAGTATCGTTTACTCAGATTGGCAGTGGCTCTCCAGGGTCTCTGGCTGAGGTCCGTCACATCACCTACTTACTTGGTCTTTCAAACTCTACCTTCTCCTGAGCACCTGAAGCTGCTTTATACTGAATCCAACCGTTGGTCCATCATAGTCAGTATCGTTTACTCAGATTGGCAGTGGCTCTCCAGGGTCTCAGGCTGAGGTCCGTCACATCACCTACTTACCTGGTCTTTCAAATGGAGATGCTGGGGATTGAACCTGGGACTTTCTGCATGCCAAGCATATGTTCTGCCACTGAGCCACAGCTCCTCCCTTCATAAAAACATGGCCTCTACCTCCAGAATGTCAAGCTTTGCTTTTGTTAGCCACCAAACAACAGCAGAGGAAAACCTGTGGAGAATGCATCGGTTCTTCCAACGAGAATCTTGGGGTGTGTGTGTTATACAAGAGCATCTAGGGCTATGCAAGCACTCTGCAATCCTTGTGGAAAGGAGAGGTTTGGCAAAAATAGGAAATATCAGGTGGCAGAACATGTTCTTAACAGAGCAGAATGAACATCAAGTTGTGTTAAAAAGTACATGAAGCATACTTCTGATGCAATTGCCCACTGAGTCCCTCCACAACACTTCCCACAGATACTGCTTTGCGACAGTTGCCTATTGCTGATGCTTTTTCTCTGGTGATGGCCTTCCTGCAACCACAGAGCTGTGCTTATGGGGGGGGGGGAGGCTAATAGCCTATGTAGGTGTCCAACAGGAGAAACTCCTTAAAATCCCAGCTAAACTCATCCTCTCAAGAAAGTGCTAGCATTCTTACATAAAAAACCCTTCTGTCTAACTTGCAATGCACACAAACAGTAGCAGGAGCAACACAGCAATAAGCAGTTCTTAAGATACGGGAGACAGCAGTCCACTTCAAGTTTTTTTGTTTTTGAGTATTGCTATGGGCTGTCATGCCACATGGCTCCCATTCACAACTTTTTGTGATGCCGATTCTCAACTGACAAAGAAGCCAGGATATTTTAAAATATAATACAAGAACTACTGAAAGTTATCCATAATTCTCTTCTATCTGCATGCATTAAAAGGGCAAAAAATGCTATTTTTTACATGTAAATATTCAGAATGTATTTAGTTTTTGTGCTGCAAAAACAGCAACTACTTTCCAGGAAATTATGTTGAAAACACACCTCTAAATCCTGCAGTGATCTTCACCCATGTTTTATCTTCACCCCCTTTTGCTAGCCTGCTGTGCCCCTGTTCTCTGAACTGCACTCCACAACAGCTTTGTGCATGCCTCAATCCTACCTGACTTCACCTGCATCCCATTCCAGCCCCTTTTTATGAGTGTAAATGCCTGTCTGAAACCTCTCTCTTCTTCACCTTAGTGTCCTATCCTTTCCTGTCCTTTGTGTGTCTACTTTTATAACATTTAAACCCAAGGACAGTGTGCATGTCTTTACTGGCAGACCTTTAATGTTCATTGTAAAGCATTTCCAAGCAACCCACAGTCACAACATCAATAGTGCCATGACACTTATAAAATAATAAAGACTGTGGGCACATTTCTCCATTTATCTTTGCTTCCCCCCCCCTTTTGAAAGCTTCAGTTGCCTAGATGAAGCAGAGGAACTGAGAAAAGAAAAAGTCAGTCACAAATGTAGGTCACTGATATGAACTTCTGATTGAGAATCCTTAAAAAAAATCTTGGTACCATCTTGTAATCTTTACCTTTTCTGCCTGCTTGGAATTGAACCTCACGGAACAAAAAAACATAGAATCAGGTTGCCTATCTTGTTATTTTTGATGGAAGTTCCACCCTAAGCATTATATGCTTCCAAATCCACTGAAGTTAATGGGATGAGAAGGACGTAACACTGCTTAGGATGGCACATAACAGATGTACAGAAACCAGCTTTTCTGCTCAATCTCACTCAGTTCCCCTCTTCACTGTATCCCCTATTTCACATGGCTGCTGTCCACACAAGTCCCACAGTCCCCTACAGCCTTTTTGGTGGTCAAAAAAATGTCACCTCCTTCCACTTGCACTGGTGGGAAAACTACTAGAATGCAATCCAAATGTTTTGAGTAGTGCCTACACTATGATTATTTTTTCCTGGGGATTGGCCTGCTGAGTTACAACACATCTTTATTCTTATCTCTTCAGAAGTAAACCCAGTTCAAAGGGTGTTACTCCCAAGCCAAGTTTGCATGTAATTGCAGCAGAAGTCATGACCTACCTGAAAGCCACTGCCGTGTAGTGTTAGAGTGCTGGTCTAGGATCTGGGAAAGACCCAGGTTCAAATCCATACTTTGCCATGGCTGACCTTGGGCCAGTCACTCACTCTCTTTTCACAAACTCCCTCACAAGGGTGTTATTTTCTTTTTTTATTAATATCACACTTTTCTCTCTGATTGGGGACTCAAAGTGGTTTTTTCACATTGTTCCACCCCCCTTCATTTAATGCTCACAACAACCACCTTGCGAGGGAAGGTTTTGCTGAGAGTGTGTGATGGGCCAAAGGTTAGGTTGCCAACTCTGGGTTGGGGAAATTCCTGGAGATTTGGGAGATGGAGTTTGGGGAGGGTGGGGTTTGGGGAAGGGATGGACCATAATGCTACAGAGTACACCATCCAAAGTGAACATTTTCTTCAGGGGAACTGATCTCTGTTGCCTGGAGATCAGTTGCTGTTATGTACTAACAGTATAACGTGAATCACCTAATCTACCTCCTATGTTGAGCTTTGAGCCAGCCAAGGCTCCGTCAGTACTCAAAAGCTATTGGTCGCATCGAAACAGCGACCAATCACAAATGGGCTATTCTCTGAGCGGGAAGAGCTCTGATTGGTTTTTATCCTCGCAATCTGATTGGTTGTTATGTGTATAGTAGGAGTGGCTATATTAGCCCGGTAGGTTTAAAAGGAGCCTAGCTCCAATGTTTGTTGTTTTGGTTTCTGAATGTTGTTAAGTGCTTGTTCGTTACTTCTATTAAAGCTGAATCACTTGCTGAAATCACTCTCCAAGTCTTTGTTAGCACGATCTAACAGCTGCAATCCCAGGAGATCTCCATATACCACCTGAAGGTTGGCAAACCCTAGACCAAGGTCAGCTGGTGGGCTTCCATGGTTGAGTGAAGGATCTGAACCCGGTCATCCTAGTTCGTAGTCCTATACTCTTCCACACTAGCCCTTGAGAAGATGAAATGGAGGAGAGGGACACCAGCCTTGTAATTCAATTTGGGTCCCCATTGGGTAGAAAAGTGGGGTATAAATTGCTAAATGAACAAACACATACACTGACTTGTTGATTTGGGTGGGTAGCCATTCGAGTCCAGTGGCACCTCTAAGACCAACAAAGTCTAACTCAAGGTATAAGCTGTCTTGTGCAAGCACACTTTTCCAGGTATCTGAAAAAGTGTGCTTGCACACGAAAGCTTATTCCTTGAAATAAACTTTGTTGGGTCTCAAAGGTGCCACTGGACTCAAACTTTGTTCTACTGACCTATTGAGGAAGCTTCCACCGATCCCACCCACTCATTAACAAGAACAAATAGCAATATCTGAAGAAGTGTGAATGCACACAAAAGCTTATAACCAGAATTAAACTTTGTTGGTCTTAAAGGTGCCCCCTGGACTCAAACTTTGTTTTAAAAAAAACACACAAAACACCTTAATTACTCTGCATCACGTTTTCAAACCTGCCCAATGTCACACGCAACCCGCCTCCCACCTATCGCCTGCTCACCGACCCGAACCCTTTTGAAAGCCCCCGGCAGCTCTTCCTTCCGCCCCCCAAAACGCGTTTTCTTCTGGTCATGCTTGCAAACCCTCCAGAGTCACTCCTAATCTGACCCTGACTCCGAGTCCTGCTCCCTTTTGCCCCACGTAGAAAGGACGGCCGGCGCTCTCTTACCATCTCCCTGTCGAGGTCTCGCAGCAGCGGTAGCGGCGTCGGTGGTAACCAGGGACGCTCCTGGACACATCCGTTGCTATGGAGCTCCTCCCGGAACTACTGGGGTGGGGAGCCGGAAGTAGCCGGGGTTTAGGAGCCTTTTGCTGGAACGATTATTGCTTTCGGAGGCTCTTCGACTTCTTCGGGTGTTTGGTGGTTTCGTGCTTAGTCATTGCAAGCCGCGGGAATTGGCTAAAACGAAAGATAGGAAAGGAGGGATTTTTTAAAAGGCACAAGCAAGCAGTAATAGCCGCGTAGTTTTGCGATTTCGTAAAATAAAAGTAAGGACGGGTTGTTTTTTTTAACCAGTAGCAAAAAAAAATAGGGGCCAGTCTAGAGCTACCGTATTCCTTAGGAAATTATAACGAAAGGGACATTTCTTTATCGACTCGAGCAATAGTAGCTAGCCTAATTTGTATCATGGTTTTTAAAAAGATTTTAAAAGGTTTCTCTTAATAATAACAAAATAGCACCTTTGCCTTTGAATTCTCTTTTAAAAATAAAACTAGTCAGCACTAGTTTTACTCCATTCTTTAAAAAAAAAAAGTAAAAGGAAATAATGGCAAGCAGTGGTAGCCTGCCTGGTCCTATCCCTGACATTTCTAATAAGAAACAATTGGAAGAACTAGCAACCAAACCGTTTTTGCCTGTTCTTTTAAACTTAAAAGGGTGAAATTTCCTAGGAGCAAGAAAGTAGTTACCAGCTGTCTACTTCTATCCTTTTTACAACCATGTTTTCTTTTCTTTAGGAAGCAAGGTTACTAGAAAAGTATTGGGGAAGATGTTATGCTGCAAAACAAATACCAAGGGAAGAAAAAAAGGATATTGGGGCTTCCATTGGCTTCCCCCACTCTGTAGTTTACCATCATCTTAAAATGAAATGGAAGGAGGGATTTTGGTTCTGCTGCATTCCTGAATACACTTACTGGGGAATAAGTCCTATTGAACTGTGGAGGCAATTTGCTCAGAGTAAATAGGAACAGGATTGAGTTGTTCATTAAGTTAGGATCAGTGCCTGGTGGGAGAAGATCCAGTTAAGCACACTGGAACAGAGAAGCACTGGGCACTGCTGAAAATACAAGCACCAAACTTTACTGAAATATATCATTATTAGAAATAAAGAACTATTATTAGGTATAGCACCAAAAAAGCCGGTTAGGTAGTATTCCCAAGTGATTTTATTTATTTGTTTGATTACCATTAGTTTAAATTCACCTTTCTCACAAGGACTGGATTACACAGAGCGAGAGAGTGGATTCAACAAAATGGGACATTCAATTAACAATGCACTAGGATTGTGGAAGTCTGGAATCAGCCAGAACTCTAAGATAGAACTGAAACATAGCATAAGTATTACCCTGACATATTGAGCAGTGCAAAAATTACATAATAGGATCCTGCTTACAGTAAGCTGTACACAACAGTGTAGACCAGAGCCACTAAGCATTTATCCAAGTAAGTCTGTAAACCATTTTGTACAATGCAACCTATTACCTGTGCAAGAAGGTCGTTTTGAATGATTCAGTTTTGCATAGTTTGCAGAACGCCAGGAGAGTAGGAGCCTTCCTGACTTCCTCAGGCAGGCCATTCTGTAAGGTGGAAGCCACAACGGGAAAAGCATGTGTATGGACAGTAGCTGATTTTGCCCATTTGCAGGTTGGCACCTACAGAAGGCCTGGCTCAGATAAGCAAAGCTGTCATGGCAGAGAGGCGGTCCTGCAGATAAGAAGGACTAAAGCCATGGAAGGCTTTGTATGTGATATAGCCAATACCTTAAACTGAACCCAGCAACAGACGGGCAGCCAATGGAGTGTTTGCAGAATGGGAGTAAATATGCATGTTCTGTCTAGCCCTGCTAATAACCGAGCTGCGGTATTCTGCACCCCTTGGAGTTTCTAAGTTGGCAGGCATGTTTTCCCCCCTGCCTACATTCCCATCAGGTGAGGAAAGGATTGGATGGTGGATCTTCGAGTGCCTTTGGGGGAGACTCTGGGGACAGGAAAACGTGTTCTTTAGGACTGACAAGAATTCTAATACATATCCCCCCCCCCCAATATATTGTAAGTATAGGCTAACTCCCCATTGTCTGGATGCTGTTCTCTTCAAAAACAAGTATTTATATTGTGAGATTAATTGTAAATAAATTAAATAATTGTATATTATCCTTTACAAGCATTCTTTACTACACCCCTCCCACCTTCTGACTAGGATAAAAGGCCTCGGAGATCTTTATTTCTACTCCCACTTGTGTCTGACGAAGGGAGCGCTGACTTTCAAAAGCTGATACCCCAAAACTCTTGTTGGTCTCTTCTGGACTTGAATCTAACTGTTCTACTGCAGACCAACATGGCTATCCTCTGAAACGATATGTTCTTAAGATTATTTTAATGGTCAGTGTCCATGCGTCATTTTGGACCTTCCCTCTCACCAAGGAGACCTGGGTAGTATAGATGGCTCTTGCTCCTCCCTCCAGTTTTGCTCATTACAACACTCTTGTGATGGGGGATAGTTTTAGAGAGAGTGACTGGGCTCATGGCCACCTCTGTCCATGACAAGTGATACTAAAGATAACGTCTTCCAGTGACCTTTGTCAGCATCCTGCTGTTGCTTTACTAACATGCTTCTTCAATACAGGACAGACTAGCGGGGTGTGCTAATACAGTTTACATGTGGCAAAGAATTTTGCAGCTCCTAATTCTATGTGTGCAGGGAGTGCTCCTCAGACCAGGATTCCTTAGTGAGAACAGGGGTGTTAATGAGCAGACAAGTGCCCCTGTCTTTACTAGTGGAGGTTTACTGAGGGGAGGAGTTTACTAGTGAAGGTTTAGTGGAAGTTTACTGGTGTGGGGGACAAAAGAGTGTCTCTAAACTAAACAACTGGATTTCCACATCTCTAAGCAGCCTGATAGCCTAGCCTAGCCCAATCTCATCAGAGCCTGGAAGCTAAGCAGAGTCAGCCCAGGTTAGTACTTGGATGGGAGACCCCCAAAGAAGTCCAGTGTTGCTATGGCTCACAATTATTATTATGCCCTGTCATTTACGTCTACGCTACACTCTGCTGTCATTTACATCTATGCTACCAATCCCGTTCAGTGACTCTCCTTTCTCTCGGTTCTGCTATTTCCCTCCAGAATTGCCTTTATTTGGATTAGTTTTTTTGTTACTGACAAACTATAATTGTGTATATTATGGTGCTTAAAATCAGGGTGGCTGAAAGAAAGAGAAAGCTTTCCCAGCCTCTGTGCTAAGGAAAGGTGGGGGTACAGGTGCGGAACGTCACTGCAGGTAATTATGAATACAGGGGGGGGAAAATCTGGACACACACGACCCAATCAGTTAAACAAGTATAAAGCCAACAGTCGTGATAGTCTGACCCACAATCAAACAGTCATAAGACTTATAAAGAATGCTGTTTATGTATTGCAATCTAAAGCACTACAACATGATACACAACTCAATAGAAAATCCTTGAACCAAGGTACATAATCACATAATCAACGTCGTCTCCGGATTACAATCCTTGAACCAAGATACATAATCAACGTCATCTCTGGATTACATAACAACGTTTCAAAAAATTGATCTTCTTCAGGAGATATTATAGTGGTGCCAAAGCTCTCAGTTTCCGACGCCCGGGATCCAGTAGAAACATAGCAGCATATTTTGAGCCTGAATGTTAATTGAGATCAGCGTCATATCTGAATTTAATATTCTTAAGACTTGTTGTCTAACATTTATGAAACTCAGAGCTTTGGCACCACTATAATATCTCCTGAAGAAGATCCATTTTTTGAAGCGTTGTTATGTAATCCGGAGACAACGTTGATTATGTACCTTGGTTCAAGGATTTTCTATTGAGTAATTATGAATACAGGACATAGCAATCATATTGGATTGATTAACCTGGAACTTTTTTTTTTTTAAGAAACATACAGCAAATATGTGGAAAAGTAGAGTTTGTAGAAAATCTTTTGGAACACAGCAGTATCTCTTTGGCTGCAGAATCCACATTGAATGGAAGAAAGGGAAACGTGCTTTTAAATGATTTTTTTAAAATGATGAAATGGAGTGTGATCTTGATGGGGCAACTATTTTTTGCCTCAACCATTTTAAAAAATTCTTCACAAAACGTATTATTTCTTTGTTTAATGTGCTTCACTCCATTTATCAGACAAAAGTCAGCTCTGACTTGACAACCAAAAATCAGAACCCCCACATTATTTCCCTCACCTTTACCTCAATTCAGCAAGATCTCTTCTCTCTTGAACATGAAGCTACCTTATACTGAATCAGGCCACAGGTCCATCAAGGTCAGTATTGTCCACTTGAGCTGTCAGTAGCTCTCCAGAGTCTTAGGTAGAGGTCTTTTATATCATATGCTGCCTGGTCCTTTATAACTGGAGATGCTGAGGATTGAATCTGGGACCTTCTGCGGTCAAAGCAGAGGCTCTTCCACTGAGCCAAACCCCTCTTCTCAAACTCTTTTCCCACTCTCATTTTCCAGTGCACTGTAGCTGTTTGGGTGGGATCAGGTTGACCCCTCTTTCAATCCCCACTCAGCTGTGAAGCTCACTGGGGTCCTTGAGACAATCTTAGTCTACCTCGCAGGGTTGCAGCAAAGAAAAAAATGGCCAGGGTAGACTTCCGTATGCTGCCCTGAAGCACTGACTCTCTCTGAGATGCAAATAACTGATCATCCAAAGGGCGAATTATTTTTTTAAAGAAGAGGCTCTTCCACTGAGCCAAACCCCTCTTCTCAAACTCTTTTCCCACTCTCATTTTCCAGTGCACTGTAGCTGTTTGGGTGGGATCAGGTTGACCCCTCTTTCAATCCCCACTCAGCTGTGAAGCTCACTGGGGTCCTTGAGACAGTCTTAGTCTACCTTGCAGGGTTGCAGCAAAGAAAAAAAATGGCCAGGGTAGACTTCTGTATGCTGCCCTGAGGCACTGACTCTCTCTGAAATGCAAATAACTGATCATCCAAAGGGCGAATTATTTTTTTAAAGAAGCTTTTTAATCCACAAATGAATTTGGCTTAAATCTGCTGTCTTAAATTAAGTCACATTTGAACTGAAGTTGGCTTTGAATGCTCGTCATCAGCATTTGTTGGAAGGCTGCAGTGGGTAAAATTTGCTGGCGAAAGAAATCAATGTGCTGAATATTTATGGTGAAGAGATTGGTAATTTATATAG